CCCAGAGGCGACAATAACTGTCTTTACCTAAAAGAGACACCACGTCTAGCTTGAAACGACGTCCAGCGCAAACAACAACACCAACGCCAACCCTGACGCCCAACTGTTGCAGCGGTGGTGACCCACCCATTGTTTTGTTATACAGTTGCACAGCTCTTGGACAAGATACCTCTATTCTTTGCTTTGTTGTTTTTTCATACCTTCTCACGTTACAGCGAGTAAGCACACCAGCAGCAGTAGATGTAAGGCCTTGTTGTCATACAATTTCATTACTATCACATCTTGTTGATTTTTGAAGCTGCAGACTGAACCCCTTCCCTCCTTTTTCAGGTCTTTATCAGGCAAGAGAGACCACTGATGCGATTCTGTCGAATGGTCCCAACTGCTTCAATGTTCATGTTCATTTTTAGGTGAGTAAGTAGAGGAACCGAAGAAAAATAGTTGTCAAAAGCAACAACAGTATCTGCAGGTTTTTGAACTCTTTTACAAAGGGCAATAACAGTTTGAGCACCTACTCCCAAACCTCTCTCCCAATCAGTAAGATCTTCATTGTCAAAAGTATCATGCCCAGAGTACGGAATGAAGTCATAGACTAGACTGTCAATGTCAGTTGTCATAAAAAATTTGTAGCCCCACTTGTGTGGTTTATTTCTAACAAACTGGCGCAAGGAACCTGCACAACTTCCCTTGTATAGCACCATTGATTCATCAATGCTTTGCCGTACACCCTAAAGGAAGAGACTGACACACCCTGCGGATGTCTGAGATAAGAGGTCGAACCTTACGAAATCTATCATTAGATAATGTTTCATCCTCGTTGTCTGAGAAATGAATAGTGGTCCGAATTTGTTTGAACCTTTTTGAAGTCATGTGATTGGCAACTTGTGGAATTCTTGTCTGAGCCTTCCAATAATCAATAATTGAAGGTAAACAAATAACATCCATAATAGCATTAAGAAAATCATGATTTCATCTTTGGTAATGTTGGCAGCTTTACCTTTCTGAACTGAATACAACTGAGTTTGCTCAACAATAAAAATTTAGAAAAATAGTCAATTGGTTTGTTCAAAACTGGAGGCACAGGAAACGGACAGGTCACTGGGCGTTCTGTTTCTGTATGATAAAAATATTTCTGAAACCTTTTGGCAGTGATGAGAAAATGTTGAAAGGAAGGAT